TCCAGGGTCGGCCGGGTGGGGGTTTGTGCAGGTGCCGTCATCTGGGGGTCGCAACAAGCAACGGCGTCGGTCACTGTCTCGGTTGTCTGTGTTATAATGGTGTGGGTCACACGACAGCCTGTCTGGAGTGGCCGCCTACACATCTGAACGACCTGTCCATCTGGAAAAGTGAGTGTACCCCTCTTTGTATCAATGACACAGTCTAATGCAGTGGTTCCCAACCTGGGGGGCGCGCCCCCCTTGGGGGGGCGCCAGGCCTCAGATGATTTGAGGCCAAATATCATATTTAGACTTTTTCTTTTTTTTTTACATTTCTTTTTTTACATATAATTATAACGCAATACATGATTGTCACTAAAAGCCTTGTCTCTACATTACAATAAAATATAAAAAATAATTGATTAATTAATTTGAATAAAAATTCAAGTTAGTAGCTATTATAGGCGCAACTTCCAACAGGAGTCATTTGGGGGGGGGCTCTTGGGAAAAATGTTTGGGATACCCTGGTCTAATGTCCCAAGAACATCCAGCCCCAGGATGCAATCTTCCAGGTTTGCGACCCACACTGGGCAGCGAACAGACTTCTTTCCCACCCCCATTGTCACAATTGTCTCTCCCACCATCGGATATCGTTCCCCGGTAACTGTCTGTAATTTCACTATGGTGGGGCAAATAGTTGTTTTATTTCTCACCGTTTCAGGCTTCACCAGGGTTGCTGAATAACCTGTGTCGACCAGCGCAAAACAGTCTGTTCCCGCAATAGTCACTGGGGCATACCAGCAGTCCTCAACCCAGGTTCGGCCCAGCCTGATGATTCGCTCCGGCTGGCCGTCAGCCTCTTCTGTTGGTTGTAACACTTCTGCTTGGTTAATGCGCTGCAACGTTTCCTCATTTGAAGAGGGACGGGACACATCATCAGGGGTCCGCATTGTCCCAGTTATGCAGACCCGGCCCCGTTTCCCTGGTTAGCTGTGCTGCGAGGGCAATCTCGAACCAGATGGCCAGGCTGTCCACACCCCCAGCAGATCCTCTGGCGGGGTCTCGGAGACTGCTCCTCTCTCAGCGTGGTGGCACGCACAAGCTGTGTCAATTTTTCCAACCAGGCCGGCTCTGCTGTATTCAGCTCAATACCGCATGCGGCGCTCACCTTCGGTGTGTGGTCATCCGCACTCCATGAAGCAGTACATAGCATCTCTCTCTCTGTGGCTAGCTCCAAAGCCTCCTGTAGAGACTTGGGGTGGGCGAGCAAAGTCTGTGTACGCAGGTCGGCTGGTAGTAGGCCCTGGAGGAAGTAGTCCCGGGCTAACTCACTCTGGAGAACAGCCCCTCAATGTTGTTGGCGAGCTCCCTCAGCGGCTCCCCAGGCCGACGCTTGCGGCTACACAGTTCAGAGCGGAGCAGGCTAGCTGCAGAGCATAGTCCAAAGCGCCTCTTTAAAGCTCCCACCAAAGCATCATAGTCACTCCTATCATCAGGGTTAAGTAGCAGCAGGCTGGTTAAAGCATCCCCAGTAAGGCACATTGCGAGCTGGAGGGCCTTTTCTTCAGCAGACCACCTGCCAGCATTTCAAATTGTGCCTGGAATGCTTCCCAGTTCGCTTTGCCATCATACCTGTGGGTTTTCATAGATGAGGGGAGGGCTTCTCTGTGCTGCTCAGTGTGTTGACTCGTGCCTGCCCTCTTTGTCTCTGTTTTCCCGCGCGTGGCGTCTCTATCAGGGGAGTAGCCGGAGCGGTCGAAGCCAACCTCAGCAGCCATTCTCATGGTCATTTCTCTCACCCGCTCTCTGTGGCTGTCCGTTCCCCGACCCTCAGCTGCGCCGAAGTGTTGCCGCTCGTCATCCGGAGTTGAACTTTGACTTCTGACACCAAATGTAGCGTCTCGCTACAGGAACACAGGGAGGCTTGGTTTGTCCTTTATCCGGGAGTTTATTATACAGATCACAGGTTACTGTTGGCCGTAACCACGCCAAAATAATCCACTAACCCTGTCGTATTCTCACTCTCCGTCACATATCCCGCTAGCTCTCCCCTAGCTTCCCGCGTCTCTCCCTCCAGGAACCTCCCTCTTCCAGCCCCAACCAACCAGACAACACTCTCCCACCCAAACCCACAGCTACAGGTCACGATAACCGTCCATCAAAACAGTGGCACGTTCACTGACACTCTGTAAAATGCAAACAAACTCTGAACAACAAACACATCAAACATCAACATTATAACCAGTCCGTTACAGTATGATAAAAAACAATAAAGAATCTCAGTGTAAAAATGTACAAGTTTTAATTGCTTAGTATTGCTGATTAGTTAACGACTTTATGTACATTAAGAACTGAGACCTTCCCGACATTTCTCAGTTGCCTATGACATCATGTGGACAGATTTCTATGTAAAGGACTCGATTACTTAAAATATCCAAAGAAAGTGGCTTTTATTCACATTCATGAGGGTCTTGTCTCTCTTCAGCTACAGAGCCAACAATATGTAGCTAACAGCAAAATACTGAATACTATCTCACCCATCCAGACACCTAGGGCCTATCATTTTGCGAACTACTTTATCAGCTATAGCTAGCTGGCTAACCCTAGCTTGTCTCCCCGCTAACGCGATTGCTAGTTAACTACTTTCCGAGTGGATATGTAAGTTTGCTAGTTTGACTTGACAACAGCTAATGAGATACATGATACTAACTTATTTTATATGACAGTGTTAGTTTTAGCCAACAATACGTAAATGATGTAACGGTGACAGCCTGTAACAAACTGTAATAACACTGCAATGACACTATTTAGGAGTTTTAGGTCCTCAGCGATCGTGTACGGCTTTTTGGCTTTAGCGATGAGAAGAGACACCGCATACGATGCCTCAGTGCTTTGGCTGATGCTGTGGAGGCTTTTCGCATAATCTCTTGCGAGGATCTGTACTCAGCAAGTTTTCTCTTGAAAAACTCCGGTGGCTTACCAACATGACACAGGTGTTTGGTGCTGAGATGTCTCTGGAGGTGCGCTGGTTTCATCGAGCTGTTGACTAGTTTCTCCCCACAGAAAAAACACAATGCCTGGGGTGGGTTGCCGTTTGTTGACGTGAATCCCATCAAAGCATACGCCTCCTGATATTGACGGCATTTTGTTGGCTCAATTTTGGCTTTCTTTTTTTCTCCGTTGTCCACGTTCCCTGCTGTAGTGCTGCTACGTTTTTAACCACGATTCCATTTCAATGTCTATTTGTTATAATCTAATATTGCAACTGGCTTCCCGCTCGGCGTGGTTCCGGGCTAGAGCCTGATTTAGCTCTGGTTCTTCCGGTTTCCACCGCAGCGGAGCCGGCTTTCAATACCGAAACCCGGTTCTTAGCTGTCCCCACTTGGCTGCCCGGCAATAACCAATACTTCACGCTTACGTCGGAGGGGGGCGAAATTAACCTGAGCAATAACAGTTAATGGCGAGTACGGCAAGTTGTAACAAGCAGTAGTGCTGAGCTAAGTGACTAGAAAAACAGAGAACAACCAGTTAAGCACCAGAAAAGCACAAGAACGGATATTGAACCCTTGGTGGTTCTAGGAATATTTTATATAAAATTGTGTTTTCTATTTAACTTATTGTACTATGATTATTTTTGTAATCATGCATGGTATTCTTTCAATTAACCTTTTTTTTTTTTTTTAATCTCACGTACCCCCTGCAGTACCCCAACGTACCCCCAGGGGTCCGTTTACCCCCATTTGAGAATCACTGCTTTAAGGATAGGTGCACATTTTTTTAAATGTCGTCAGTTGCCCATATGTTCATTCAAACAGGTTTTCCTTGCTGTAATCATTTCACCTGATAATACTGGCCATTAGAACATCCCTTTATAATGGATTTCAATGTGAAGGACATAATCTACTGTCTCCTTTCCTGTTCTGTTCCAAAGGTACAAGAGAGAACGAGTCACAATGTGTCATTGTTCATTGGACGAGTGGTTACATCATTCTTAAAATAATAATCTTATTAGTGTTGAACAATTCATTTTGTAGTTGGTTGGCTTTCTGCCATGTTTAAGACTCTTTATATAAGGATTTCTGAAATGTCAAAGGAGTAAATAAATTTCGCATTAGATGCCTCTGTAAATTGTAGGTTGCCTTATTGAAACACAAATTGGATATATTTACACTAATGCAGAAGCTTGAGAGGAGCCAAGACAGCTTGATGTCTCTCTTTAGTTACTGAAGAAAACTACTGCTGAATCTGCCTCAGCTGCTGCAAGAATCTCCTTTTGACTTTAGAAAAAAACACATGCGTGATTGAATCAAATCACTTGTTTTCAGTCATCCCAAAAACATCCTACGCTGTGTGTGTTTACAATTCACAAGAGTGGAAACCATATGAGATGCTCTCAGTAACTGACAGATTTTTGTAATTATTTTGCATTTATATTTAAATGCTACCTTGTCAAGAATATCATGTTAAAATTGTGTTTTATTAGAGATAAAGCGTGTCAGCAGGTGGAGCTGTGACAGCAGCAGGTGGAGAGGGGGGGTTAGCAGAGCGGGGCAGCAGGCTGATGGCCTGACACCTATCAGAGTTTAAATGAGCAAACCTATCATCCAGCAGACAAACTGGCAGGCACCTCTCTGAGCAGCCCTCTCTGAGCAGCCCCCTCTGAGCAGCCCTCTCTGAGCAGCCCTCTCTGAGCAGCCCTCTCTGAGCAGCCCTCTCTGAGCAGCCCTCTCTGAGCAGCCCCCCCTTCATTCATTTGTTAGCCACCAGTGCTGTGACACAGTTGGCATTAGTGTCATGCTAAAGACACATTTAATTGGACAGGTAGCTGACACCTATTTGAAAAGCTGCCGGTTTACTTCTGGAACTCCGTTCATTAAGAAGACAGCAGTTAATGATACGATCACACCAACAATAAAATGAAAACACATTTCTTCCGATCTTAGCAGGTCCACACATTAGTATTGAAATAACTTTCATGAAAGGGAATATTTTTTATGATAGGCAAATGGGTCAAAGGATACTCCCTTCTTTGCTTGATTCCTGCATACTTTCCATTCCCGGGAGAGCAGCTGCCACGCGCCGAAACAGCTGGGGGAGAGAAACAGAAACAGGACACTTCGACGTTTGACTAAACCTGTGATACATTACATTACAAATAATAAGGCAAACAATACAACTCTCCCCTGCTCATTTCATCTAGAGAGAAAATAATAGAATAATGACGATAGAAGATAACTTTTTCTAATTTCAAGGCAGCCATTTACTACTTATCTATCGGTTAGGATAAAAACTTGTATAATAAGATATTTAAATACTTGCTTCAGATTAAATACACTTTTTGAATACATTTGGTATCTTTAGATAGTAAGACTGCTAACCTGAAAAGAACGAGTGTCTAGTAATGTTCACTATTATGGAAATTAAGACAACAATGTTTAAACTAGTGCAATTTCACCTCACATGGTCAAGTGACCATCTTGTAAAATGTTTTCAACTTGTTTGAAATTTTAAATCCCATGACAATTTTATTTGAGTATTCATTAGAATGGAGAAATAGCAGCTTAATAACAGCAAAGAGGTCAGACAACTGTTTCCATTCAAAGATTCGGACTACTCTGTCCCTGCCCTGTTTCATATGTATCCTCTGTAAGTAGATTACATTATGGACGAACTGTGGCTTAACCTTCTGTGTTTTTACTGTTTTGGGAGGTAATGCTGAAGTATGTGTAAATAATATGGATCCAATAAACACTACATAAAAGGGAGAATTCATTTAAAAATAATACCACATTTCTGAATGTATCTAGTGTGGCTAACCACAACAAAATAGTCATGTTTGTATTATAGTTGGCAACTGACAATAAGTAATCTTATTACATAACCTATCAGTTCTCATGAGAGATTGTGAGATTGATGTTCAAGAACTGAGATTTGCTGACACAACATCTTAGTGGATAGTGATGACTCAGCCAAACAGTGCTGTGACTGCAGCCTCCTGAGCTGTGACCTTTCCCACCCCTGTGTTCCATCCTGGCAGTCTGCTGTGAGTCCACAGTCTGAGGAGGAGAATCACTTCCTCTGTCTGTGTGCCACACCATCACTGACAGACACAATACTGCTTCCCTTCAGCTCACTTATTCAATTAACAAACAGTTGTTGTTTCTGACAACAAACATCTGTTTGGAGACAGATCACTGTTGTTGAAGCAATCTGTGCTTGCAAATCTTTGCATCTTAAATGTAACTCAAAGGAAGGAATGCATGCAGCCTTTGTAAGAGGCATGCAGTAGAAGCAAATACTTACACAGGAAGAAATACTGCTAAACTTCTGTCAGTAAAAACAAGGGACCTTAAAAGGTATCATGGGGAGATTTGGACCACTGAAATTGATATGGAGCAATGCTTTGATGAATGCGTTTCATGTGTATCCTGTGTATTTACACAGAGTTGCACACAATGAGCAATTTCTTACAAAATACACATTTAAGCAGCACGTGTCTATGTGCATAAAGGAAACCCTGAGAGAAAACATCAACAATTAGCAAATCTGGAAATAAACTTAACAGAAAAAGTAAAGACATTTGTGTTGGTAGATTATTTCTTTGTTGTATCAATGCTTCTTGGCAATACATCTTATACCGTTGGAAAGCCTGTTTTCTTACCTTTCAAATGGTGCCACATTTGTGAGGAACAAGCATTTGTGGGATGAGCAGCAGAGCTGAGTATGTGGGGTGCGCCCATGAAAAATGTGACAAATCTCCTCCGTCAATGCCAAACAGCTTTTTTACCTCCTGACTCTCTTTTGGTTGGGTTTGGTGGATTGGATGATTGAAGTCTGATGAAAACAACCAAACACAGCCACAACAGCCTCTTCTCCTCATGCTGGTCACCAGCCTGCTCACACACTGCTGTGGGATGGCCTCCCATTCTTCAACCAGCATGTGTCCCAGGTCAGCCAACGTGGTTGTGTTGGTCACTCTGACAGCAGCCCAAGCTGATCCCACGATGGGGTTGAGGTCAGGACTGCAGCCATTCCATCCTCTCCACTCCCAAACTCTGGAGGAAGTCTCTGATATCCCCGCTCTGTGGGGAGAGCGTTGTAATCCGAGTTTGGTCTCAGACTGTTGAGATATGGGACTGCCACTGGTTGCAGAATTTCATCTCAATATCTCTCTGCATTCAGATTGCCTCCAATCATGAGAAGCCTGGTTCTTCCAGTGAGGGAGATGAAGCCCCACCCCATCACACTGCCTCCACTAAAACATGTTACTCTATCGGTGCAGCAATCAGCAAAGCGTTCTCTGCGTCTTCTCCACACTGTGACCCTACAATCCATGTGCCGTAGGCAGAATCTGGTCTCATCGCTGAACATAATGTTGCTCCACATGTTGAGGTTCCAGTGCAAGTGGGCCTGACGGTGAAGGGCAGTCATGGCAGGCTCCTGGCGGCCGTACGAGACCGGAGAATGGCTGCTGTTTGGCATTGGCAGAGGAGATTTGTCATATTTTTCATGGGCGAACCTCACATACTCAGCTCTGCTGCTCATCCCACAAATGCATGTTCTTCATGAATGTGACACCATTTGAAAGGTAAGAAAACAGGCTTTCTAACGGTATAAGATTCATGGCCAAGAAGCATTGATACAACAAAGTAATAATCTACCAAACACACATTTTATTACTTTTTGTGTTAACTTTATTTCAGAAATGTCACAGTTTGCTGATTTGTAAGAGTTGGTGTATTGATAAAAGAAAAATGTGACAAAGTGCAATAGAAACAGAACTAGAAAATAAATGAGGATGCATGTAAAAGCTGATCGATGTTTGTCCTAACTCACCTGTTTGACGTTGTAACCCGTCTTGGCGCTGGTCTCTATGAACATGACGCTCAGCTCTTTAGCCCTCTGTTCACCTTCCTCAATTGTGATTTGCCTGTAAAAAGAGGGGAATCCTCATCAGAACACTGCAGAATATGCCATTAGAATAAACAATAATATGTTTAAATACTGTGGGCACAAACATAGAGGCTGCTTTTCTCATACCAACATTTAACAGAGACAAATTGACCCTCCATGAAAACAGCCACTCTGCAGCTGAAGCTCCTGTAATTATTCTAGGCCGGTGAGGATCCACCAGACTTAATTAGCTCTTAGTGACTGAGAATGATTAATTAGATCGTCCTGTGAGAAATTAATAACAAGCCATTTGCATTACATTATAATGAATCTGGCAGTAATTGTTGGCTGTGAAACGGAGACTGTGTCAGGTGTCCGTTAACCAACACAGAAATCAGTGCTGCTGACTCGGCAGCATGCAGAGCAGCAGCTACAGCCCCACCACTGCTCTGCCAGGAAACCACGACCAAGTCTTAGCAGTGTACTTACCTTTTCTTTCCTATCTTTGTCAGATAGGAAAATGAGTTCTTGCAGTGAGAACAGAAACAATGCACTGGATATGTATTTACATAAGAACACACCTCTCAGAGTTGTACCACTGCTGCTGGTGTGGTTATTTCTGGATGCACGAGTCCGAGTTCAAATGTAAACAACACCGAGCTTATAGATCATCAGACAGGCAGTGGCAAGAAAGTTTCATAATGGATGCACAATATGAGGCGTGTGGCAATATTCATGCAGCCAATACTTGATAACACCTTCTCAACAGTAAATAATGGAGCGGTACCATTATTACCCATGGTCATTATAAACTCAAGCATTACACAAAACATCTATTCAATCTTTGCTCCCCTTTAATTGACTTGTAATGTAACCTCTCATTCTACTAGATTTTATCAAAAGTCATCTTTATCCTTCAACTTCTACCAACTATTACCGTGTCTGTAGTGAGCCTGGTGTGGGGGCCTAGGCATGGAATGTTGGTCTATGTACTCAAAATGTCCACACATTTTAATGACAATCAAAAGTAAATATGTAGGAAAGTAAATAAACAATTAATGATTTTATACGCATGTCATGTTAAATACAGACGAAGAACATTAAAACATAAATACCAATTTGTGTCACATTTGATCAATTAATTAAAGCCTGCATTTATATTTAATATATATTTTTCTGATCTTTTCTGCCTCCAAGCAGCCGCCAACCATGCATCTCTGGAGAGGTCCTCAGAGGTGGACTTTAGCCTACTTAGAGGCGCTGCTCTCGTTGTCGTGTTATGCAGGATGTGCCAGCCATGCTTTTGGGCTTTCCTGGCCAGGGCGAGGGTGGCAGCCTCCCGTCGGAGGCCGGCCGGAGCTATTCCCGCGAGGACTGGCAAGAGGGACACAGGGGTAGGCTTCAAGCTTCCAGTTATAATCCTGAGGGCGTTGTTGATGACCACGTCAACCTTACTTGCGTGAGGGCTCCTGCTCCAGGCTGGGGCGCAGTATTCCGCTGCAGAGAAGACCAGGGCTTGGGTCGATAATCGCAGCGTCTTAGCGCAGGCTCCCCAGGTTGTTCCAGCGAGGCGGCGGATCAGCGCGACCCTTGATGTTACCTTGGCCTTGACTTCTTCAAGGTGTTGTTTGAAGGACAGTGTCCGATCCAGACGCACACCGAGGTACTTCGGGGCTTGCTGGACCTCCAGACGTTTATTGTTGACACGCACCTCAAGTTCCCTCCTAGCTTTTCTGGTGCTAAGATGGTATGCCGCTGCTACTGTCTTTCCGATGTTGAGCTGTAGACGCCACCTTTTGAAAGTATGCTACCAGGGTGCCCATGTCGTCGTTAAGGCCATCTTCCATTGCCTTCCATGTTGGTCGTCTCAGCATGATGGCTAGATCGTCTGCATAGCCGTACTTTCTGTATGTTGTGTCAGGTAGGTCATGTACATAAATGTTGAACAGCATCGGCGAGAGAACCGACCCCTGCGGAACACCGTTCCTCAGTCTTCTGAGCCTGCTGCGTTGGCCATTGCTGGTCTGGAGGACAAAGCTGCGGTTGGTAAGCGTCTCCATGATGAACTTAACCATATGCCGGTCTGGTATTGTCCTCAACAGCTTCAGGTGGAGTCCACGGTGCCAGACAGTGTCATATGCGGCAGTCAGGTCCAGGTACACTACCCCAGCTTTCTCATTGTCCTGGAAGCTGTCTTCGATGTCCTGAGAGAGTAGCGTTACCTGGTCTACTGTTGACCTTCCACGTCGAAAACCAGCTTGTTCCCGTGGAAGCTGTGAGTCCACCACTGGCTCGATGCGGCTATGGATCATCCTCTCCAAAATCTTGATTGGGACACAGAGCAGCAAGATGGGTCTGTATGACTTGGGGTCTTCCGCAGGTTTATTTGGCTTCGGCGCGGCGCCAGGTCTTTGGGAGCTTTGACCTCCGGTAACACGACGAGAAGAATGCACAGAGCCAGCCAGATGTTGTTGTGCTCTGGTGGGTGACGAACTCAATAAGGAAGTTATCGGATGTGCAGTGTGTCTCCTGCAGGAGCACAGCCGCTGCCCCGTTGGAATCAGCCAGGTGACGCACGACTTCGAGTTTGGCGGTGGTTAGGCCCTCGACATTGAGTTGAAGCACTGCCAGGCCTCGGTTATCGACGGTCGGGATGACTGCCCGTCCGCCGTTCCTAGGCCTACCAGCTCGACGTTTGGTTGGCGACATTCGTTTCGCAAGTTGGTCTTGCACCATTTCTTGCTACTCACAGAGGAGGCCACGTGAAGGCTGTCGTCTTCTCCTCTCCTTTACAAACCTGAAGAACAGGAAGTGGTCTGACTCTATGGTAAAGGACATGCTAAAACACTCACCATGCTACCACATCACCACCATGTTATCCAAATTCTGTCTTAAAGTGACATTAAGAGCCAGACCAGAGAGTAGATGGTCAGCTGTTCTTAAGGACTACGAAAAAGGATGTCCTTAAGAACCAGAGAACAGGAGAGTATAGATTACTGGACCACATGAATCCTCTCAGAGATATGCTACTGACAGCTGATGAGCACTCTTCATCCAATCCAATCTAACTTTATTTATATAGCACATTTAAACAAAGTGCTTCATGGAACAAAGTGCTTCATGGATAATATGAGCCGGTCAACGTGTCTGGGGAGATTTGAATGTCCCAGACAATATAGCTTATAGCATATTGTTAAGAAGACCTCATTAGGGAATGTAGAATCATGTTTTATGAACATGTAGACTATTTTAAATAAACAGCTCCAATCAATATAATTGTGATATATGCAGAATAAATAAATAATAATAAATGAATATTACAAAAGCCTACGCTGTAACTATTAACACAAAAGAAAAATCCCTCAGCTTTAGGCTTACATATTATCATATAAAATAAAAATAAAAATATATATATTTGCAAACCATCTAAAATACATGTAGTCCTTTATTGCTCATAATATGCTGTGCCAACTTGAAATCAAGTGTCTCTCTCTGCCAGCACCCTGGAGAGGGGGATCTTGCAGGATATTGAGAAATTGAAGCCTCTATAACCCCCGGACTCTAACAGATTTACCGTTGGAAACAATAGCCTGTGTTTTTCTGACAAAAAACGAATTGCAAGTGTAACAGTAGTGCTGACTGCACTACTCTGGTTTACACTTGCAATTCGTTTTTGGACAGATATCCGTATGTCTCCGTCTCCCCTCCAGACAAACAAAGAAGAGATAAATCTCACTCAATCGTCCCTACAGTAGCAACAATAGCAACAATTTATTCATCAGGTAATACACAAACACTATTCCTAAATAATCAGTGTATCCACAAATGTTGTGGAATAACCGATACGATTTAAGTAGTTCAGCTCATTTTCCATACTTCTTGAAGGACTGTGCCATTTATATTGTTGGGCGCTTGGGAAATGTATAAGGAACTTTGCATGAGGAAAATGTGTTAAAAAAAAAATCTGAAAATAGGGTGCACAAATAATTGTTCACTTTGAGGCTTATTTGCACAAGAGAACATGTACAATCTCGAGGACTGTTCACACTTTTTGGGTGTATTTCTGGTAACCCAAGTAGTGCAATTTGGACTGCAACACATTTAATATTAGTACAAATTGAATAGCAATGGTTATTCCGTAAGCAGCGTAGCATAGTTACTGCACAAGTTGACAAAAAAGTATTGGAAACATACTGTATGTACGTATATATGTATGGATTATTTGCGGGGGAGCTTAATGCAGTAGTTGTTTTTTTAAATCAGAAAAAAGTGTCCCCATCACTTCTTCTAACAAAGTTTTTTTAGTAAAGCTGTTTAATGCATTGTGTCCCACGCACACAATTTGTCATAGGTTAAATTCTCCTTTTATTTCCCACTACTGTATATTACTGCTTTATGTCATCTAATTTCATCCTTTTATAAAAAGAATACCCTACAGAAATTAATTTCCTTTTCCGATCTATGGGACATCGTGTTTCATCAGCATTTTCTCTCGTACATACATATCTCACCAGGGGCTAAGTCTGTGAGTAATTACCACAAGTAATGTTCTCCTTTCAAAGTCATAAGAGCAGCTGAGAAGCTTAATGTTCCACGTTAATTACTATGACAACACTAAGCACAACCAGTTATGCTAACGAGTTATTCATTTAGTTATTTCATATATAATGTAGCAAACATTCATTTATTTTACCCATATTGATATAATGTGGTGTTAATATTAAGTTAATATGGTAAAGTATTAAGGAGTTATGTTCTCTTGATAATCAGTGTGTCTTTTAACAGAGTTATTAAGCGAGCTGCTCTGAGGTCAGATGAACGTCTGACGGGTTCATCAGGTTCTGTTCTCCAGGTACTGTGCTCCACTCAATGTTCCTAGACTGACACTTTGTACATCATGGTGGCCATACAAAGAAATGCTGACTTTAAAGAAAGGATATGATGCAAAAGTGGATGGATTACTACAAGGGCCAGGGGTTCCAAAGTGTCAGGCCCCCCCCTCCCCCGGCCGTCATCTACAAAATGTCACTCAAACGG